AGAAGCTTCAGGGTTATCTTGAAAATACTATCTGTGGGCTGGCGCTGTGGTGTAGCGGGTAAAACCACCACATGCAGTGCCGGCATCCCATATGGGTGCTGTTTCAAGTCCCGGTTGCTCCACTTCCAACCCAGCTCTCTGCTGTGGCCTGGGAAAGCAGCAGAAGATGGCCCAAGTCCTTGGACCCTTACACCTGCGTGGGAGACCTGGAAGAAGCTTCTGGCTCTTGGCTTTGGCCTGGCCCAGGCCTGATTGTTGTGGACATTTGGGCAGTGAGCCAGAGGGTGGGAGATCTCTCCCTTTCTCTCTCTCTTTGTGTCTCTGTCTCTCCTCTCTCTCTGTAACTCCGCCTTTCAAATAAATAAATAAATCTTTAAAAAAATACTCTCTGTGTCTCTACATCTGCTGACAAGCAGGCCATGAATCAGCACACATATGAGTCATCTTGCAGAGGGAAAAAAAAAGAAGGAAACACACATGACTTGTGCTTACTCAGATGTGGACAGATTTTACAAATCATCTTGCTTGAAATGCCTCTTTAGATAGGTAGTTACTTCATAGCAAAGACTTCCACTGAAATTAAAATTTTTATAGCAACAGCGTCATGCCGCAAACTCTTGAATCTGGAAGGGATTTTGAAGGGGATATTTTGGGGAGAGGGGGCGGTAAGAAGTGTCCACTACCCTGGTGCAGGAGAAAAGGGGTTCTTGTCCATAGGGAACTTAATCATTAATCATTAAATCATTCTGCTTGTAAAAAAAATTTATTTATTGGGCCAGTGCCGTGGAGCAGTGAGCTAAGACTCTGCCTGTGGCGCCAGCATCTGATATGGACACAGGTCGGTGTCCCGGCTGCTCCTCTTCCGATCCAGCTCTCTGCTGTGGCCTGGGAAAGCAGTGGAAGATGGCCCAAGTGCTTGGGCCCCTGCATCCATGTGGGAGACCCGGAAGATTTTCCTGGCTCCTGGCTTCAGATTGGCTCAGTCCTAGCTGTGATGGCCATTTTGGGAATGAACCAGCAGATGGAAGACCTCTCTCTCTCTCTCTCTCTCTGCCTCTGCCTTTGCCTCTCTGCAACTCTGCCTTTCAAATAATATTTTTAAAAATATCTAATTTGGCCAGTGCCATGGCTTACTTGGCTAATCCTCCGTCTGCGGCACCGGCACTCTGGGTTCTAGTCCCGGTCAGGGTGCCGGGTTCTAGTCCCGGTTGCTCCTCTTCCAGTCCAGCACTCTGCTGTGGCCTGGGAATGCAGTGGAGGATGGCCCAGGTGCTTGGGCCCTGCACCCACATGGGAGACCCAGAAGAAGCACCTGGCTCCTGGCTTTGGATCAGCGCAGCGCAGGCCATAGCGGCCATTAGGGGAGTGAACCTACGGGAAAGGAAGACCTTTCTCTCTGTCTATCTCACTGTCTAACTCTACTTATCAAATATATATATATATTTGACAAATTATATATATATATATAATTTGACTTTTTAAAAAAGATGTATTTATTTATTTTGAAAGTCAGAGTCACAGAGAGAGACAGAGAGAGATCTTCCATCCACTGGTTCACTCCCCAGATGGCTGTAGCAGCCAGTGCTGGGCTGATCTGAAGCCAGGAGCCAGGGGCTTCATCCGGGTCTCCCAAGTGGGTGTAGGGGCCCAAGGACTTTAGCTATCCTTACTGCTTTCCCAGGCCATTGGCAGGAAGCTGGATCAGAATTGGAGCAGCCAGGACTCAAACCATCGACCATACGGGCTACTAGCATTGCCGGCAGTGGCTTCACCCACTGTACTACAACGCTGGGCTGTGTAGTTTAGACTTTTAATTCACACACAGCAGTCATACTTGTCTATGGGGTGCGGTGTGACTGGACAATGTGGCCCGACTGGACAGCAAACGACCTTCATAAGAGCTCATGCATTTTGTCCCTTTCCTTTCTTGAATTCCACGTGTACTCTGCCACCTTCTGGCCGTGACGTGTCCTTCTGTGTGCACCTCTAGGGACAAAAGCTATTACATGATAAATGTATGCGACGGGGCTTCGAACAGTTATTGGAAAACGTGCATTCTCTGTTTAAAATATTTTTATGTTCCATTTTTATTTGAAAGGCAGAGACGGCCGGCGCCGCGACTCACTAGGCTAATCCTCCATCTGCGGCGCCAGCACCCCAGGTTCTAGTCCCGGTCGGGGTGCCGATTCTGTCCCGGTTGCTCCTCTTCCAGTCCAGCTCTCTGCTGTGGCCCGGGAGGGCAGTGGAGGATGGCCCAAGTGCTTGGGCCCTGTACCCACATGGGAGACCAGGAGAAGCACCTGGCTCCTGGCTTCAGATGAGTGCAGTGCGCCGGCTGTAGCGGCCATTTGGGGAATGAACCAACGGAAGGAAGACCTTTCTCTCTATCTCTGTCTCTCTCTCTCACTGTCTTACTGCTTGTCCAAAATAAAATAAAATAAAAGGCAGAGACAAAGAGACACAGAGCTCTCATTCCATGAATGGTTCACTTTCCAAATGCCCGCAACAGCCAAGGCTGGGCCAGGCTGAAGCCAGGAGCCTGGAACTCTGTCTGGGTCTCCCACATGGGTGGCAGGGACCCAGGTACTTGAGTCATGCCCTGTGCATTAGCAGGAAGCTGGATAGGAAGCAGAGGAGCGAGTACTGGACACAGGCACTGTAATATGGGATGTGGGCATCCCAATTATTGTGCCACAAACACCCCCCCCCATGTGCATTCTTAAAAGATAACTCTGGCCAGAATAGATGAGAGGAGGTAACAGCCTTGCTCAGTTGCATTGGGTGGATCCACATGCCAGGGAAATATTCACAGAGGCCACTAGGGGGCAGGCGTGAGACAGTTCACAGCAGCTCCGTGGTACCCAGCCCGCAATGCAGACATGCCTAAGTGCAAATAACTAATCCGAGAATTAAGTAAGGACAGATCTCAACAGAGTGCTGAGTGGAAGAAGAAAGAAGGAACGCGAGGGTTAGGATACCGTATAAGTGCGTTTAAAATGCACACAATAAACAATGCACGTGGTCTTTTTTTTTTTTTAATTTATTTACTTATTTGAGAGGTAGAGTTAGAGAGAGAGAGGTCTTCCATCCACTGTTTCATTCCCCAAGTGGTTGCAATGGCCACAGCTGGGTCAGACTGAAGCCAGGAGCTTCCTCTGGGTCTCCCACGTGGGTGCAGGGACCCAAGGACTGGGGCCATCCTCTACTGTTTTCCCAGGCCATAGCAGAGAGCTGGATGGGAAGTGGGGCAGCCGGGACATGATTTAGCGCCTGCATGGGACGCTCATATGAGATCCAGCTTCCTGAAAATGCCCCTGGGAAAGCAGAAGAAGATGGCCCAAGTGCTTGGGTGCCTGCCACTCATGCGGACGGAGTTCCTTGGTCCTGGCTTCAGCCTGGCCCACTCCTGACTGTTGTGGCCATTTGGGGAGTGAACTAGTAGATGGAAGATCTCCCTCTGTGTGTGTGTGTGTGTGTGTGTGTGTGGTGTGTGTGTGTCACCCTGCCTTCTAAATAAATAAAGGTTTTAAAAATCAATTAATGGCCGGCGCTGCAGCTCACTAGGCTAATCCTCCACCTGTGGCGCCGGCACACCAGGTTCTAGTCCCAGTTGGGGCGCCACATTCTGTCCTGGTTGCCCCTCTTCCAGTCCAGCTCTCTGCTGTGGCCCGGAGGGCAGTGGAGGATGGCCCAAATCCTTGGGCCCTGCACCTGCATGGGAGATCAGGAGAAGCACCTGGCTCCTGGCTTCAGATCAGTGCAGTGCACCGGCCGCAGCGGCCATTGTGGGGTGAACCAACGGAAAAGGAAGACCTTTCTCTCTATCTCTCTCTCTCACTGTCCACTCTGCCTGTCAAAAAAATCAATTAATAAATATATACTTTCCTAGGGGTTGTGTAAAAAATTGTGATGCTAGGCCGGCGCCACGGCTCACTAGGTTAATCCTCCGCCTTGCGGTGCCGGCACACCGGGTTCTAGTCCTGGTCGGGGCGCCGGATTCTGTCCCAGTTGCCCCTCTTCCAGGCCAGCTCTCTGCTGTGGCCAGGGAGTGCAGTGGAGGATGGCCCAGGTGCTTGGGCCCTGCACCCCATGGGAGACCAGAAGTACCTGGCTCCTGCCATTGGATCAGCGCGGTGCGCCGGCCGCAGTGTGCTGGCCGCGGCGGCCATTGGAGGGTGAACCAACGGCAAAGGAAGACCTTTCTCTCTGTCTCTCTCTCACTGTCCACTCTGCCTGTCAAAAAAAAAAAAAAATGTGATGCTATAATGTAGGGCAGGCGTTTTGGCTGAGCAGTTAAGAGGCCACTTGGGCTGCCCACATCCCACATCAGAGAGCCTGGGTTTTGTCTGGGCTCTGCTCCCACTTCCAGCTTCCTGCTAATGTGCACTCGGGGAGACAGCAGATAACAGCTCAAGTAGGTAGGTCTGTGCCACCCACGTGGGAGACTTGGATTGAATTCTGGGCTCGTGATTTCAGCCTGACCCAGCCTTGGTTATTGCTGGCATTTGTCGGGTGAACCAGTGGACAGGAGATATCTCTGTATCTCTCTGCTTTTCAATTAACATAAATAAATAAAGTTTGCAAAATACTATGACCGCCTTCTGATGAACTAAATATTTGCATGTGCATATCCTTAATACTTTGGGAAGACTCCCTGAAAGCATGATTTCTGGCTCTAAATATCGACATGTTTTTTAATTAATCCTTGCTTTTTAAAAATCTGCCTTTATTTTTCCAGAGCATTTTTAGGATCATAGCAAATTTGAGCTAGAAAGTTTCCGTATATCCTGCCGTCCCCCCAACCACAAGATGCTCACTCTTAAATTGCTTTGCTTTTTGTTTTAAAATTGAGGCTTTTTGAGAAGACGCTAAAATAAATCAATAATAAATAAGTCTTGCAAAATGAAGTTTCAGTTAAGAGTTGGGCACAGGTGTCAAACTAAAAACTACATTTCCCAGGGGGCAGCGCGGCACGTCACGGCAGGAGGATCGCGCCTGCGCAGACGGGTCCGCCGCGCTCGCCTAAGCTCATAAAAGGGAAAAAAAGCGTGTGTGGTTCTCGACGTGCCGCGAATCTTCGAACGCGAGTGCGTTAGCATCCGCAGGCTCGGAAAAAGCGTTCGAGGGACCGCGCCTGTTTCTCCGTCGCTGTTTCCAGCGCGCCGAGGTTACTTCGCCCGGGACTCGGCAGGTGGGCATGGGTCAGGCCCGCGGCCGCCGGAGAGGCTCGGGAACCAGGGCACCGGGTCCTTCCTGCGCGCCCCCGTCCCCCGTCCCGGCTTCGTCTGAGGGGGCGCTCGGTGGGGGGCGGCGCGCACGCGCCCTGGGCGGGAGAGGCGGGGTTCGGCTCGCGGCCGTGGCGGCGGGGCCCGCGGCCGGGCGGCGTGGGGTCTGCGCGTGCGCCCTCGGGCCCCGGGGCGCGAGAGTGGGGAGCCGCGGCGCGCGCAGGTGCGGTGCTCGGCCAGGTGCGGCCGGGCGAGGCGAGGGGCGCGGCCCGCACTGCAGCATCCTTGCTGAACCAGTGCCAGGGTGGGGCAGCGCACCCGCCAGCCCGTCCACTGTCCTGACACCTGCAACCACCTGGTTTGCGCAGGTGTGTCGCCCAGGGCCAGCACGCTTCCTCCTCAGAGCCTCTAGCAGCAGCGCCCGTGCGTGGCGGGAACGCCTCTCCCCTTGTCCCGCTGGCCGCCCCTTTGCTTTTAATGCGTGTCCCACCCCAGAGCTGCATCCCAGATCTCTTCTCTGTGGCTGTCCGCTCCCTAGACATTCCCGATTGACGCTTTAAATACCCTCTGCGGTCCTGCCAACTTCTTGGATGCCTGTCTTCAGCCCGTGGACTCCCTGCGGAGCGCGCTCCCTGCTTTGAAATGGCTGCTTGGCCTCCCGGAATGTGTCCAGAGCTAATTTTGAGTTTTATCCTTTGCACATCGGTGCCTTCCCTCGTCTGTCTTGTTTTTCCAGCTTCTCGGGCTGGAAAGCTTGAGCTATGCCTGGTGTCTTTGCGTCTCAACTCCCCTCCTCCTCCATCCATCTCAGTCAATGTTGATTGAGGCTTTGAAATTTCGCTACTTGATGGGTAGCTGTGGGCATCCTCTTGGCCAGCGGCTGAGTCCTCTCTGACTGGGGTTTGTTTTTTTGACATCTGGCATCATTGTATGTTCAGACTTGCCTGGTCCTTTTTTGTCTCTTTTAGTGCTTTGTGTTACCTGCAAGTAAGTTTTTGGAACTGTGTTGTATTCCTTTCTGGACTGTGTCCCAGGTCTTCCATTGCTGGTTCACTCTCCAAATGGCCACAATAGCCGGAGCTGTGCTGATCCGAAGCCAGGAGCCAGGAGCCAGGAGCCAGGAGCTTCTTCTGGGTCTCCCATGTGGGACTTGGGCCATCTTCTACTGCTTTCCCAGGCCACAGCAGAGAGCTGGATCGGTAGAGGAGCAGCCGGGTCTTGAACCAGCGCCCATATAGGATGCCACCACTGCAGGCGGAGGCTTAGCCCACTACGCCACAGCGCTGGCCCCTCCTTGTTACTTCTAATCTGTCAAGGTTCTCCAGGGGCCAGCACATGGCACAGTGAGTAAAGCTGCCGCTTGCAACAGCAGCGTCCCACATGAACGCCTGTTTAAGTCCTGGCTGCTCTGCTTCCCACCCAGCTCCCTGCCAAAGCACCTGGGAGGCCAGTCGGTAATGGACCAAGTGCTTGGGCCCCTCCCACCCACGTGGAAGACGGGGATGGAGTTCCGGCTCCTGGCTTCAGCCTGGCGCAGACCCAGAAAGCAGCCATTCGGGGAGTGAACCACAGGTGGAAGATTTCTGTCTATCTTTTCCTTTCTCTCTGTCACTCTGTCTTTCAGATAAGCAAACAAATTTTTTTTTTTTTTTTTAACAATGTTCTCCAGAGAAACAGAACTGAACAGTTCTCTGTAGTTAACACAGAGAGAGATGTGTGATGATGGCCTGGGTCACAGGACGGTGGAGGCTGAGCTGCCGTCCATGACTCAACACCTGCGCATTCGAAGCCCAGCAAAGCCAGTGCCGTTCCAGTGCAAGCCCAGAGGCCTGAGAACCAGCAGGCTGGGCGATGCCCATGCTGGAGGCACCCTCCCAGACCCACCTGCAAACAGTGTCTCACCAGGCAGGTTGACACATAATAGGCACCATCACATTTTCCTGTCTCTTTTTTAGTTGCCATGGTGATCACCATTTTTCTGGTGACACTTTTGGTATAGTCACAATAACCGACCAGTTGATGGGTGGTGTGTAAGAGACGAAATGCTCCTACTTCTGTGAGTTGTTTTAGGACTGAGCACGTTGAAGTTGTGGCAAAATTGGAGTTCAGAGGAAGAGCGTAGGTTTTAGAATTGGCAGCCTTGTAACCCCACCTCAACTGCTTTTTGCTGTTACCTTGTTAAACGTAACCCGTCTGAACCGTTTTTTGGTTGGTTGGTTTTTTTTTTGTGTTTTGTTTTTTTTAGTATTTATTCATTTATTTGAAAGGCAGTTTTAGAGAAACAGGGAGAGGTGGAGAGAGGGGTCTTCCATCCATTGGTTCATATCCCAAATGGCTGCAGTGGCCAAGACTGGGCCGGCTACAGCTGGAAGCCTGGAACCACATCCAGGTCTCTTCCCAAGTGGGTGCAGGGGCAGGTACCTGGGCCGTCTTCCACTGCTTTCCTGGGCTCATTAGCAGGGAGCTGGATTGGAAGCAGAGCAGCTGGGACTCAAACTGGGGCTCGTGTGGAGTTGCTGGTGTCACGAGCAGCAACTTAACCTGCTGCGCCACAGCGCCGGCCCCTCCCATCCGAACTTCTACCGAGAGAGTGTAACCCTTTCCCGTGCTGTCCACGCCTTCACCGTTGTGGCTCCGTGGGGCTCTGGCCTCGCTCAGCAGGTAATCTCTGGTCTAATCCGTTCCTGGGGCCTTAGCTGCTCATTCTGATTCGTCCGCTTCTGGTCTCTGATCTAGACTGCAGGTCGTTACTTCACGTGCTTCTAGCCAGTACAGCTGGACGTTTCCAGAGGGACATGTTCTGCTTCACGTGAGATGCGTTACGTAAAGCCCTGGTGCTAAGCCATGTAGGAAGAAACACATTGGTGTCACAGGCAACTGAAGGAAAAAGATAAGTTGGTGCAGCCAGCATCGTGGCGCAGTAGGGTTAAGAGATCAAATTGCAGCTGCTCCACTTCCTAGCCAGTTTCCTGCTATTGGGCCTGGGAAGGCAGTGGAAGATGGCCCAAGTGTTTGAGTTTCTGCCGCCTGCATGGGAGGTGGAGATAGTTCCTGGCTCCTGGCTTCAGCCTTGCCCAACCCTGGCTGTTGCTGGCATCTGGGGAGTGAATCAGTGGATGGAAGATTCATACCCCCACCCCATCTCTGTCTCTCTCTCTGTCACTCTGCCTTTCAAATAAATAAATCAGAAGACATATTGGACTTTATATTAAAGATATGTGCTCCCATGGATACAACTCAGTAACAGAGATAACTGAACTTGAAGGTGGGCAGAGGGCCGGCCTCCAGAAGCCATACATACACGGCCAGCAAGTGCATGAGAAGGTGCTGCATGCCCTCAGCCATCAGGAGACCCCCCCCCCCCGGGCCCCCGAGGGTCTGCAGTCATGGAGACAGCAGCCTGGGGTGGCACCCACACGGCTGCTGCCAGTTCTTCTGTGAAGCGTGGAGTTGCCACGTGATCCATGCCCGGAAGATGGAAGCTTACGTCTACACAGAAACCTGGCTGCGTGCATGTCAGCGTTACTCAGAATAGCTAAAATGTGGGCACCACGCCTGTCCTTAGACTGATGAATTATAGACAGAGTGTGAGGTAGGGACTATTCAAGACAAAATGAAGTGCAGGAGAAGCAAATCAAGAGAGAAAGTAGACTCATGCTTGGCTGGGCCCGGGCACCTGTTTGGTTAGCGCGTTCAGAGTTGTGCTGTCGCCACGGGCAGCCTGCAGCCTTTGACCTGGCTCATCCGCTCGCGATCGCTCCCTTTCTCCCCCAACCCTGCCCACCCAGCCATCTGGATGTTTCATATAAACGGGAGCGTGTAGTGTGTAGTCTTGTGACTGGCTCTTTTCACTTGGCAGAAGGTTTTCCTGGGTCATTCATGTTGGCAGCATGTGGCAATACCATCCATTGTATGGATAATACCACGCCTTATTTATCTGTTCCTACAATTTCTCCACATCCTTGCCAACTCTTGTTCCTAAGTCTCTACTTTTTTTTTTTTAAGATTTCTTTATTTATTTGAAAGAGTTATAGAGAGAGGAAGAGACTGAGAGAAAGAGGTCTTCCATCCGCTAGTTCACTCCACAGATGGCCGCACCAGTCAGGGCTGGAGTCAGGAGCTTCCTCCGGGGTTCCCACATCCTCTGCTGCTTTCCTGGCGCATTAATAGGAAGCTGGATCAGAAGTGGGGCAGCTGGGTCCCAAACCAGTGCCTACATGGGATGCAGGTATTGTAGGCAGTGGCTTTACCCACTGCGTCACGATGCTGGCCCTGTTAAGTCTCTACATTTTTTAGAGAGATTTCTAAGTTTATCTATCTGAAAGAGTGAGTGACAGAAAGAAAAGGATATCCACAACGGCCAGGAGTAGGTCGGGTCAAAGTCAGGAGTCCTGACTTCCATCAAGTACTTGGGCCGTCATCTGCTGCCTTCTCAGGTGTGTTTGCAGGAAGCTGGATCAGAAGCAGAGCAACTGGTGCTTGAACCAGGCCCTCCGAGGTGGCAGGTGGGAACACCAGACCGCAGTTTAACCTGCTGTGCCGCAACACCTGCCCTTGAATCTCTTTATGATTATCACCACTCTAGTGGGTATGAAGTGACACCTCCTGTGTGTGTTTTTAAAAATTAAGTAGTTAATGTTCATTTTATTTGGAAGGCAGAACGATATCTTCCATCCACTGGTTCTCTTCCCTCAAATGCCTGCATCAGCAAGGCCCAGGCCAGGCTGAAGCCAGGAGCCTGGAACTCCATCTGAGTCTTCCATGGGAGCGCAGGGCCCAAGCACTTGAGCCATCACCTGCTGCCTTCCACAGTGCGCACGAGCAGGAGGCTGGCGCTGGGCCCAACACCTGCGCCCTGCTTGTGGCTTTGATTTGCATTTCCCTGGCAGTGGCCATAAGGAACCTTGTCTTCATGCGTTGTTGGCCACGTGCACTTGTGCGTTGTCTTTGTCCCCATCGTTTTGTGGGGCCTGAG